TTTTCTTATTCTGCTGCACTATATAGTATAATCAGATGGCTTAATTCCATTTTTGCTATAACTGCCTTGTAATTACTATTTGTACAAATGTTTATTTCTTAAATTTCTGTCTCATAAAGACTATTTGCTAACTCTTCTATAATCCAAATATAATTAATTCTTGATTCTAATCTATGTTTAAACTATGAAAACTCTCTTGCATTTGGATTAATTAATTTAAATATATCACTAAACTTTTGTCTTTCTAGCCAGTTAAGTAGTGAATCTGATTTTGTTTGTTTTTTCTTTTGGTTTATTGATCTGTCTAAGTTCAAATTTACTGTTGCATTAAAGTCTCTCATAACTACTATTTGTGTTCTTGATAGTCTTTTAATGTATTTATTAATTATTGATTTTTGAATTATTTTTCTTTATTTTTTATCATTTGAAGATAGGTAGACTATTATAATTATAATTTTAATCTGCTTAAAGAAGAAGTTAGCAGAAATCATATATTTATTTGTTCTTTTTATGTGGTCTAAATATTTTTCTTATTTTTGGTTAATTAATAATCCTACTCCTAAGCCTTTTTTCTTATCAGGATTTGCACTTGACCAGATGCTTTTGTACCCTTCTAAATTCTTTTCTAAAAAAAAACCTTCTTTAACTAAAATGTTTGTTTCTGTTAAACCTACTATGTTTAGTTCATTGTTGATTAACCAATTATAAAGTAATTCTAACTTTTGACTATTTGATTTAAGTCTATTAATATTGTGTATTGCCAAATTCAATTCAATTCTTTCATTTGTATATATTCTTCCTATCTCTAATGGCTCTTTTTTATTATTTTTTGTTTCTTTATTCAATATAGAGCATCTCTTTGTACTAAATTGGTTTTTTTTTTCTATTTTGTGATGAGAAGCTTGGCTCTATATTTGAGATTGTTGGTTTAGTCTTGGTAGTTTTTAGAAATAATCTGCAAAACTAAAGCTTGCTAACCCAAGTTTTGCTTTATGCTGTACTTCAAGTTTGTTTAGTCTGCTAATAATTTTTAATAGTAAGTCTTTAGTTGATAGCTTTTTTTTTTTCTTGATAATTTTTTGTTTTCTTTTTCTTAATTGGTTCTTAAATCCTTGTTTAAATTCTTTGTGCTATATTCATATTCTATTTCTTGGTTATTCTCTTCTTTATTGGTCCAACTTTTCTTTCTTAATAGTTTACTTTTTTCTCTTAATGCTTTTTTTGTTTTATAGTTTTTTCAAAAAATTGAATGATTGTAGTGTCAGAATGGTTTTGATTGTGCTAATTTTAAATCTTTTTGGTTTGCAAAAGTGATAATTACAAACCTTTTGGAATTACTATTGCTATTAGTTGGCATAAATACTGATTTTGGTCTTTTACTTTTAAGGCTTTTTAGTAAAAGAACTTCAGAAGCTTCTTTGGATACTTCTAAAAGTTTTGCTATAAAAAGACTATGTTTATTTTTTTACTTGTAATCTTCTTTATCTTGTGTTACTTATACTAATTTGTTGCTATTCAATAGGAGTAACCAAGACATTTCTTTATAGTTTCTGTTTGTTGTTTCAATTATTGTTAATGCCTTAAATTGAAATCTTTTAATTTTTACAACTTTTATATTTCTAATACTTTTACATATAAATTCAATTTCTTTATAACTGATATTTGCTAGTAAATTCCATATAGTCAAATAGTTTAGATTCTCCATCTTTTCTTTCTTTTTTGTACAAATTGGTTTGGTTTGTTTGCTTTATAAGGTGAAGTCTGTATTTAGTCTTTTGTAAATTTAGCACTATTTATTTGACTATGCTGTTTTTTAAATTTCTAGTTTGCTTTCTCTATTTGTATTATAACTAAGACTACTTTTTTGTTTTTTTGCCTTTATAAAAATGAGTTTACACTAATCATCATCTTTTTTTAATATTTTTTTACTTATTGTTCTTCTGCTATATTCACAATCAAAGTCTACTATAATCTAATTATTTCTATTCTAAAAACTTTCTTCTATTTCTTTAATATATTTGTTATTTCTAAGTACCTACTTTATAAAGTTAATTCTGTACTTTTTTGTTTTATCTAAATCTTGTAAATGAGTTTTTTTTATTACATAATCTATTTTGTGATGACCAAAGACTATCTTCTAGTGGTGCTAAGTTGACTAGTTCTTTTGAATTCATTCCTTGGTCTTTAGCATTTTCTTTTTTATTATCAAGGTCAGAAATATCTAGACTTGGCTCTATGTATTTTGCCTTTGAGAACAGTTTACTTTTTTTACTTCTGTTTTTATCTTCAATAATTTTGACTGCTAACTTTTCTAGATTTGTCAATCAGTAGTTTTGGTTTGATATATTAGTTTCTATAGCAATAGTAAAATCTTCTATGTTGTTGATAATATTTTGACTGTTTTCTTTTGTTGTTTTAACTATTGGTTCTTCTTATTTTTACTTTATTGGACCAGTTTGTTAAAAGCCAATGTTTACATTTTATTTTTTTACTTTTATTTTATTTTTTCTTTTAATATTATTGAACTACTCATATTAGCTATATAGTTAATTGCTCCTAAATTGTATTATATCATTTTTGCTTTTATTGTTCATTTTTTGATTAATTTTTTTCAAGGCTTCTAGTTTTGATTTGTCTTAATACTTCAAGAACTTGACTATAATTAAAAGAAACTGCTTTGTAATTTCATTTGGATTACTAATTGCTATACTGTATACTATTTGCTCTATATTGTTTGAACTATGTGGTGTTGTATCTTTTAGTGTTTTAGTTAACATATTGCTATCTAAGTAACTAAGATTTTTTTTATCTGCTTCTTAAATAAACTTAAGTAGCTCCTGCTTGTGTAACTTTTTCATCTTTTAATCTACACTTAAGTAATAATCAACTAATATTTACTAGTAGTATTATTTAGATTTTTCTAAATAAAGCCATATGCTTTTTTGTTATTGTTTAATTGTATGCTTGTTGTTTTCTTGCAATTTATTTATTTAACCAAAAATGAAACATGATCTATTGTTTGTTTACTTTGTTGTTTATGTGTTTTTGTACAATCTAATTTGATCTACTGTACTGGAACTCTAACAATTTTCAAATTTTTAGAAAAAATTTTAAGAAAAAACTAAATTGTTCTTTTGTGCTTTGTAATTGACCAAAAGAAAAAAGAGCTTCTATTAAATTTTATATTGTTTTTGGTATACATTCTTTTTCTTTAAGCTATCAGAACAGGTTTTCTAAGTTAGTTCTTGCTTGCTACTACTATTTTTGTCTTGTTTGTTTTTGGAATAAAGAATCAGCAAGAAGAGTTTTTTGTATTGAAAATAAAATTTTTAAATTTTTAAAAAATTTTATAATAACTAACTTTTTTTTTTTAAATATTAAGGTAAGTACTTGTGACTCAAACTTTTATTAATAATATATTTGGCTAATGATTGCATTACAATCACAAAGAGCAACTACAAAAAGAGTATACAACTAGTTATTTATATAAGTACTTGTTATTGGTTAGGTTGTAAATGATAACTAATTATCTTCAAATATAATATGGAGCACATGCCACAAAGCAGCATATGCTCTGTATTATAAATCCTAATGATAATTAGATTTATTAGCTGCAACTTAACTGATAATATTTTTATTTATAATGTCTAATATAAGCACTATCATTTTTTATATATATTAATTAATTACTAATTATTTAACTTACTTTTACTTATTATTTACTTTTTTTACATTCACTTAATATTTATTTTTACTTCTACTCATACTTTTTTATTCTTTTTATAAATAAGTTTGCTAATATGAGTTCTATACAAGCTTCACAACTTCCTATATAAGAAGAAATTAACCAGTTACAAAAAGTATTACTTGTTTCAAACACTAAACGAAATATCTCTTTTTGGCTTTGTGCTTTAGATCAGTTTAATAAAAGTTGTAAAATATTTAAATTTATTGAATTAATTGATTTTGTTAAAGAATTTGAAACTTATCTTTGCCAATTTATAACATAGTTAAAAAAAGATGATGGTTTTGATTATAAAGTTGAATCCATCTACAATTGTTATAATGTAATCAATAGTTATCTTAAAAATTATAGTATTTTTCAACTAATAAAAATCTTTGATTGATACTGATTTTCCTGTGCTCTTCAAATCTTAAATAGAAAAAATGCATATTTTGCAAAATAAGGAATTAGGAGATACAAAACAATTTGACAGGTTATTATTAGTAGAAATTAAACAAATACTTGATTATTCATATATGGATATTAATACAAGTGAATCACTTTTGCATAGAGTCTTCTTTTGGTTATGTTTATTGTGTAAACTACAAGATAGTAATGCATATAGAATTTGCAAAAAGAATCTTAAACATCACTATGATGGAAGATTAGAGCTTGTATTATATAAAGAAAAATTATCAAGAAGGTGTTTTTTATTAACATAAATATGAAAAAACAAGTTTATGATATATTCTCATACCACCAGATTCAGTTAATAATGAATATATCCTAGTAACTGATATTCTTCTCTATTTGTCAAAAATGTCTGATTTGGTATTGGTAGATTCTTTTTTTTGTAAAACTTATAGATCTAAAAAAGGTATGTATATTATATAATACTGATATAAAAAAATTTAATTTGAGTAATTAATTTAACTATTTTTATTAAAGATCTTCTAAAAGAACACTGATACAAAAGTACTTCTATAGATTATAGAAAATTGAGAAAAATAATAAATAATATTGTGATACATACAGGTATTGATCTCAGTAATAAACAAAAAATTACAAACTATTTATGCTATCATATTGCAATTCAATTACTAAAAAATAATGAGCTTTTAGATTTTGATTTACAGTTATTTTTCAGATATTGATTATGTGAAAGCCTAGCTAATTATTGTAAACTTAGTAATGATCAATATATTTTAAATACAGTACAGTTAATTTCTTTTACTTCAAATAAATTAGATTTAGATAAGTATGATTTTTTGAAGGCATGTTTGAAGAAAATGCTGATAATGTAAAACAAGGTAATTTATATATAATAATAATTTTTAAAATACTTCAAATTTAATATTTTTTATTAAATTATTACAATTTTAAAATATACTGTGATTAAATTTTATTTATATATTTTTAATTTTTTTTAGATTATGAATTAAAGCACAAATGACTCAAATTTCTAAAGTTCAAGTGACCCAAATTCCTGAAGCACAAGTAATCCAAAATTTTAAAGTACAAGCAACCCAAATTTCTGAAGCACAAGCAACCCAAATTTCTGAAGCACAAGCAACCCAAGTTCCTATAGCACATGCAATTGAAGTTCTTATGATACAAACAACTAAAGTTCCTATAGTACAAGCAACTAAAGTTCATATAGCAAATTAAGTTTTACCTCAAATTCAATATCTAAATAAAGTGAAAATCTCAAGACTTTCTAAATTAAAATTCTGTATTCAAACTTATCCTTCTTCTTCTGTAATGGCACCTTTTAAACCTCTTTGTCTTCCTAATTCATTATTGTTAGCTTCTTATGAAAAATGTCAAAAACCATTATCTGCAGTTAATAATATTGTTATTTAATTTTCTTTTAGTGCTATTTTATAAAATTACAATTTAAAAATAGATTTAAAAATTAATTAGATCTTTAAATATAACTGATTTATTATTAATTGCAAATTAATAAATACTTAGTTTTGTTTTATAAATATGATTAAAAATTGTGTATTTTAAATATAAAGTAATTAAAAATTGAGTTATCATATGATTAGTAAGTGATTGAATAATATATACAAAAAATGTTCAGTATGTACATAGAACATGTCAGATAACTTTAGTTATTGTCTAATTTAAGTAGTTCGCTTAAAAGTTTTATACTAGCTGCCATATCTGCTTGTAAGTTCCTTATTTAACCACTCTAGTTTCCATATCCACCCATCTACTTCTGCCTACTAACAACTCTAGCTGATACCAGTAAAAATATGCTATAGCCACTAAGTCTTTAAAGCAGTTCTTTAAAACCTTTAACCTTGTACTAAACCTTTTAGAATCTTCTGTATCCTATTCTTATAGCTGACCTGATATAACTATAGCTAAGACCAATACTAGCAGTCAAGACATATCATTAAACCATTATGCTTTTGTAGAGTTCACTTCAATCCTAATACTGACTTCACAATATATCTCTACTACTTTGATATTCAATTTAAGTTTACCTAAGCTGCTATTTCAGATAGTTTAAAAAGATAGATTATAACTATAATTCTGGTTTACATGTTTGCTAATATGTACTTTTTTTCTCTAAATTCTGGAAATTTCAGTGACCTGATTGGTTCATTTAGTTTTTTCTCAAAGACCAACACATTTATCTAGTTTTACAAGTTTTAGTTCTGTTTCATAGATCTAGTCTTTATAGTAGCACTATTAAAAGTTCAAGTTACCTCTCTACTCAGGTCTTCCAAGTAGGCTTTTGTCTTTCTATCTGGTTTCTGTGATTTACATAATCTAAGAACTTATCTTGGGTTCACACTGCCTGGTACCAGTTTATATTCCTTTATACAATATTATACAAGTGCCTAGACCTTTTAGTTATATTAATATAATACAGATTATAGGTATCTAATTTGAACTAATTACAGAAGACAGTTAATTATAATACAGAAAGAATTGCAAATTTTTACTGTCACTAAGATTTGAACTCTAGACCTACTACTTAAGGTTGACAATCTATTCAGGTTATTATACCCTTATTACTAATTTTTTCATATATAAGTATTATTAATTTTATTATATAAAATTACTAACTTAAAAGATAGTGATCTTAGTATAGTAGTAGGTTGTCATTCTTCAAATAGCAAGTTTAAAGTTCAAATCCTATCTATGATAAAATTTGGAAATTATATCTGCATTATAATAACTGTTTCCTGTTAATTAGTTGGTTTCATATAACTGTAACTCAGATACACCAAGTTAGGTTTTACTGATATTAAAAGCTTGAGACATCTATATGAAGTGTAATGTTACATGTACATAGAGAAATATATAACTAGTATTGCATAAAACTTCAGTGCAAACTTATGATAAGACTACTAAACATAGAAGACTAAAGAACTGAAATAACAGAAACTTACTTAAAAATTCTTAAATAAAGAGATAGCATAAACCTTTGATGATACTATTAGACTAATTGAAGTTTATGAAACATCTTCATAGAAACTAAAGATTAAAACTGATTAACAAATATATATAAAGAAGCATATAACCAACCAGGTTGCCAGACTTACCAAAGAAAAAAGATACAGAAGTATATCATATCAGGCTATTTGAATTGGTAGTCTGAAATAAGATTAACAGCTTCAAGTTGCAGCTAGTAGAAAATAATAATGAAGATATCAAAAAGATAGATACTGAAGTTTTAGTAAAATTTACAAGAGAAGAAATAGTATAACATAGCAGTTAAACAGATAATCTCTGTGATTGCAAGTATTAGATAACTATAGCATATTGTATAAAACTAGATTAGTATATATAAAACATAAAGGCTTTAGTAAGTTTCCTATCAAAAATAAAGTAGTTTTAAGAATACCAACTAGCATCAGAAACTTGGATAGGTGTAGCCTTGAAAATGTTCTTATGATACAAAAAGGATTGCATATGCAGAGTGTTTAAATAGGCAAGATCTCTAGTTGACTTACAGATATGGCATTTAGTATAGAACTTATATAATAATGTATAAGCAGACTACTTAAATTAGGCACCAAAAGTGCATGTGTGATTAATTGTAATCTCTAATGTAAGGTAGCTTCTGGTGGCATGCCATGTCCTATATATTTGAATAAAAATATTACATCCCAAATATTGGAACTTTAACATTAAAAAAAAAAAAAATACTAACTTTTTATATAGTAAACTAATTTAAATAGGTAATTTTCTTTTTATTATAATTTTTTTTTTATATATTAATCATAGTTAAAATTTTGTAGGTTTATACATCAATGTTATACCAAGATACTTGTGTAATAGCACAAAAAAATACTCAATTATGATTGGTTAATTTAGAAATATATTAAAAAATTTTAATTTTTTTATTTTTTTTAAAAAAATTAACTAATTTTGGAATTTTTTTAAACAATATAAAATTAAAAATTAATTTAATTTTGTTTATAAATATATTTTATAAATTTTTCAAATATTAAATATATTTATTTAATTATTAGTTAAT